TTTATCCTTGTATTAGTTATCGAATAAAAATTCATAACCTGTTTCCAGTACATTGAATGAGAACGGTTTAATGAAAGCTAAAACAATAACGATTACGCGTAATTAAGCGAGGTTTTATTTTTCTGGGTAAAACTAATCGAAAAATGACCTTGACTACCATTTCTGACGCCATAGCCGCGACCGTTTCTTTTATAAAACGCAAAAGGCTTAAAGCTGTTGTCAAAACAACCTTAAGGTGCGTTTCTTTAAGAAAATCCAAGATTGGATTCTTAAATCCAGAAAACGGATTTTGCGTTTCTTTTCTAAACAGATTAATCCAAGATCTCTCGGTTCATGGTACGTCAAAGGAACCGAAGAATCTACTCTGGGTAAGGATTCTTCGGTTCCTTTGATGTACCACGATCCGAGTGATCTTGGATTGATCTGTCTAGTAAAGAAACGCAAAATCCGTTTTCGGATTTAAGAATCCAATCTTTCTTAAAGAAACGCACCCTTAGTGAAGGAGGCAAGGAGGCATCTTTCCTTGCAGATCTTAGGTATTGATAATAAAATTTAACATTATTACCAGTTATTGCTATCTTATCTTTTTTTTTCTGTCTATACAGGTGGCTTGTGCTGCTAAAAGAACACACCAATCGCTACATCAGACACTGCGTTTCACCGCTCCATTGTTATTGCCCCTCTGTGGAGCTCCTTTATTTCGAGGACTTAATTGACGCAGCGTTCTTTGCTTGGATAAACCAGTTTTCTGGGATTTCAGCATGCGCATGAACTCGTAGTTGATCAAAGAAATCAAAGTATTGCGGAGGCCAGCTCCTGATCATACCTGTAACACCTCGCTCATGAATAAGCTTAAACTCGTGGGTCTTTTTCCCTTTCATAGGTTAACTAGATTTGTCTAAATAATTGCAACTAAAGGATGATGTCTTTTTGTTATCGTTTGTGATGATTTAGTTATATTGAGTCAAGAGGGTTTTTTGTTTTTTTTTTTTTTTGTCTTACAGAAGAACCCTAACTGATACCCAATCACTGCTATTTGAAATTTGAGCCAGCGATACTGAAAAGTCAGATCGAAGAAAGATGAAAATAATTCTATAAGCGTTCAGAGCGAAACATTTTTTCAAGATTTCCTTTTGAAACTATTCTCTTTTAATTTTGGTGTGCCAATAGAAGAGGAAAGAAAATTAAAATTAAAGAAACATACATAAGATTGTCTATAAATCCTATTTAAATCATCTTTTTTCTACTTATATTTGTGTTTACCCAAGCAATCCTTAAGATGTCAGAGTGTATTACATAAACGTCGCAAAGAAACTTGCTTAGAGAGTCGGATAAAGATAAACGTGAGACAAAAGCCTGAAAAATGAATCTATACTACACTATATAAATAAATAGATATTATAATGCATTCAGTTGCTGTTTGATTCAGGGTTCACGAACACGCCATCAGGACCGAGTCAATATTTCGAAATTAGTTCATTTGTTACTTGTTACCTCAGAGCCTTGCGTCGTGCTCGTATCCCCGCGATTGAAAACCTCGTTCGTGCAGTTTTATTATCCACCAGCAACTCATCACTCACATGTTCAAATGTATCTCTTTTGTCTTTGAGAATCGCCTCAACTCAAGATTTGTCCTTAATATCGAAACAGTAAGGTTTCTGGGCCCCATAGAGTTAACATGTACCTTGCGTGGAAATCCCACTGTAAGAAGGATGTTTCAGAAGCCATGTGTAATATGATAAAATACATGCAAGTACTTCATGGCCATTGAATGGTGGTTACTTCGCCACCAATATTAAGATCAGAAATATCCAAAGGAGTCCAAAAGAGAGCTTGATTACCTATTGTACATTGTACTTTTACAAGCAACTGCTCAAAAATTCTTATCGCGTGCTAGCTTAATTTTATGCAAAAATAAATTCACAGCTGTTTACACCTTGGCCTCTGGCTGCGTCAAAAAGTGATTTCCCGCTGTTTGGAGATAACCAAACACTTGCGCGTGCCCTCCTCGATCAGTCCGATCACGCATTGTTAAGAAATTCTCATATATAGTGTTACTTCACTCATATTTTTCCTGTACTCCTATCTAAATTGAACCGGCCATTGAAATAAGCGAGGAAGTTGGTACAAAGCTATTTGTAAGTCACTTAGCATAGATTGGGAATGAGAAATTAGTGCTATTTTTCTACAAGTTCGACCCCAGCACAGAAAAATCTGATAAGGATAATGACAAGATATTAGTTGCGGTCTATACTGATAAATTCGTGCTATGCGTTAAGTTACATTTTTAACCTCCCCGGGTTTTCGTTTTCTAAGGTTATACCGCATTTCGCATTAATCGCGTGGTTTTAACGCCGATAGCAGCAATAGCTTGCTTGACATCGTTCGCTTTAAAGCACTGTCGCGTACTTACTTTGCATTTATGGCACTAGGCCCGGCTTTTGGGTGTGTGTTCCAAACTTCTTTTAAAACATTTATAATCACTAGAATTGTACTTGAAGCCCAGGTATGACGTGACGAGATACAACACGGAAAAAAAAAATCAACAGTTTGGAAAAAGAAGCTGTTAAGGCTAAGTTAAGGGAGAGCTAATGATATGAGGAAAAATAAATAAAGAAGGACAAAACAATGGAAAACGAAAGAATATTTACATGCAAAATTTCGCATGATGTCGCATGCATTTGAACTGATCGGTTTAGCGACTTTTTCTCACTTTGTGGGATCAGCATTTTAGTAAGCAAAAATAAACAAAAAAGAGCCCCTTTGTTTTATTTTTAAAGGCAGCTATGGATTATTATCAACTAGGAGCGAGCAAGTGCACGTTTAATTATCGGAATAAGAACATTCAGGCACCGAGTGTTGTTAATGGTCTTAATGTGTCATTTTGGTATTATTTTGTTATCAAAGCGTTCTCTTGTAGGCTATTATGCGGATGTTCAAGCCACAAGGAGTCACCATTAGAAATAGAAACACTATAAAATTTCAAAAGAAATTAATGACACTGCTGGTTTACTCTTATTATTAGCTAATGTTCAATTTCGTGGTTACTTCGAATGGAAACTTTCCTCATGTCAGTTCCTTCGCTCAACCAACTGATCGATCATGACTTTCTATCATCGTTGATAGTAAACATTCTAAGTGGTGATTGACAGATGAATTTTATGGAAGGTACTAGACCCAGGGGAATAAAATTGTTTTTATTCTCCTTGTTGTGAAAAAAAAAATCGATAAATAAATTAAAGATACTACTTGACTGTGGACCATAACATGACCAATTTTTCTCTACAAGCATAAATCATTTGACTTCATAGGAACTTTTCCTTATCATGTTTTATCATTATCGTTTGTAGAATTTTCTTAACGAGCAAAGAAAGGCACGTTATCCGTGAAGTTGGCTTTTGTATGTTACTTTTTGCGTACTAGATTAAAAAAATATTCCTACCTTTTGTTTCTAAGAGCAGGTTATATCTCTTTTGTCCTCCGATAATGTTGCTTTCGCTAGTTAAACGGCTTACTTTAGGCTTTGTAGCTGTTGAGAAGATCTACACAACTTGATTTATGAGCACTCTATCTTGTGCTCGTGTTGCCCACACTCTCTCGTATTGAATTTGCAATCTTTCTAATTGCTTTAAAAGCTTGTCATTTATTAAAGTTCTTAAACTGAAAGATAAAAACCTGTTACGTTAATTATCGTGGCATTTCATTAAAAAAAAAAGGATAACAACCGTTGTTTCATTTGAAACGTACAGTGATCAAGCAGTATAAAACAAAAATTACGATTTAGCCAACGCATGTTTCAACATCAATCACGATCATACCTTAGCCATTTTAGCTATCAAACCTTCCTGGATGATTTAGAAATAAGCAAAGTCCAGCTAAAGTAGTTAACGACCTTGCGTGAGCGGGCACACATTGATGTTCCATGGTAGCGTGCTGTTCATGTGTTGCCGGGTTACTTGTCGCTTCTAACAATAACATTTTAAGTGGCGTATTATACTAAGAAATTTTTGGACGAGTTTAAAAGCGCTAGCTTACTCTTCAAATCCGGTGCTTAGTCTGTACTTAGGCTGGCCTTCCACTCCAATCTATATCATGTGTTGACATTCAAATTTTCGAGTTCAAATTTTTTAATTTGGCCGCACTATGTGAAATGACCATCTCAAGTTCGTTTGCTGAATTTGTTTTTATTACCGTTTGTTTGAATATTGGCCGTGAAAACCTAATTACATGAAAGGGCGTTATTACGTGCACGTGAGTCTTGCTTCTGATCACGGAGCTTCAGCAAATAATAAATTCTGGCTGGCCGCTTTATAGGGGCAAAGACAATAGAAAACCCTCATCGGGACCACTAAAAGGTGGCGCAATATTCAAAGACAACTAAAGTCTTAGCGCTAAAAAGGCGTCACGGTTACCGTATGCCTTGAAAGGTGTCTCATGTCCAAGCGATGTGGCGCGTTTAGACTGTAGATACCTAAACCCCTACATCAAATTAAAGCTTATAGAGCAGGCTCTCAAACTACATGTATACAAATTATACAAATAATTTTGAAATAAAAGCTAAATTGTCAAGTCTTTCACGACATCTAAATGCGAGCGTCCGAATCACCTTTTGAAAGTTGCAAGTCATAGTTAATTTTGTTTTCTGGTAAATTAATTTTTTCCTCAGTTTCCGGACGCAAAAAGCTGAAAAATCCTGTCTGCGTTTTGCCATGTTCAATTCCAGTGAAAAGTTATAGAACAGTTTTGAAATAGGATAAAAAATCGCACAAAAATTGTTCTCGGAGAAAAAATATTTCGAAATAAAAAAATTCGCAGGCAAGTTTTTGTTGTTTCTGATATGTCAAACTAACTACTGTTCAAATTTGAAGGCAAACCAACAAATTACCTTTGACTTGTAGCTTTCAAAAGGTGATTCGGACGCTCAAGTTCAGAAGGTAGTGAAAAATTCCGCCATTCGTTTTATTTCAAAATTCTTGGTATTGTTTGATAGCCCGCTCTAAAAGCTTTCATTTGATATAGGGGCTTTTTAAGTATCTACAGTTTAAACCGGACGCGCTATATCGCTTGGACGCAAAAAACCTCTAAAGGTATACGGTAACCTTAATTAGGAGAGCTGTTTTACTGTACACTTATACTCGGTAGTGCTCTTAAAGTTCGTCCAAGGCATAGGATGCTTAAAACTAACCCCCATATTACTCAAAACAGATATCAGAAATGCTGGACTTTGACGGTTACATTTCATTTACTTCCCAACCACAGAATTGAACCAAGAAGAATATCATCAGACACGATTTTGCATTCTCCTGTAAACTGGCAGCACTAGTACAGGGCTACAACAATCATCCGCATCTGCCTACCCAACAAACAAATGTGGTTAAACGTCCTACAGAAAACCCACCAGCTATGACACAATATCAAATCCAATGTTTTTATTAAACAAACACTGCTAGATACACTTTGTTTTGATTCTCGGTTTTTGTGCTCGCCGCGACACGCAAACCCTTTCACATGTGTAATACTGACGATAAAGAGGAAAAGAGTCACGTGATAGCACGACATGAAGTTTTATCTTTCGGATTAAACCAAGACAAATTACGTCTACGAATGAATCTTTCTGTTTAAGTCGATATAAATCAAGTTGCGCACGTCGTCTTGAATAATTGATTTATGGTTTCTGGTGCCCCTCTGTTTGAGTGCTTGTGGAATACCTGTCACTAATATGTCTTTAATTGGCTTTGTTCAAATTTAATTGACTGGCTTTGCAAATCACAGCAAGTGATTTAATGTTATTTAAACGCCTTGTGCGACAAAGCATCGAGGATACCACTTTGCAACAAATCACCCAACCTTGCGCTAAGCTCTTCGGTATGAACTCTGAGGAAGGGCACGTGAAACGGCCCATGAATTGTTTCATGGTCTGGAGTCGAGAAAAGCGCTACCATATCCTGAAAGAACATCCGGGGATTAACAACGCTGAAGTTAGCAAAGCACTAGGTGCAGCATGGCGAAAACTCTCTGAGCAAGACAAAGAACCGTATATAGAGGAAGCGCGAAGACTCACAGAACAACACAAGATGGAGAACCCAGGGTACAAGTACCAACCAAAACGACGCAAGTCTAAAAGGAAGAGAAAACCAGACAAGAAAACAAGTGCATCAACAACGCCTTATAAGAAAAGCGAAACCCGAAAATCATCTGGTGAAAAGATATACTTGCCGTTTAAAATCATGTCCAGGCCAAGCATATTGCAACTCGATGAATTGAGTGGAAGGCCTTCAGTTTGCTTTCCACCACAGCTTGGTTTGCCTTGCTTCTCGCCAGCCTTTCATGCAGGCACACACGGATTGTGTTCGTGTCATCATTTCTACCCTTCGTCTCATTATTACCCCTCTTGGGCTGGTGGACCGCATGAGCAACTCTACAATATCGGCTGTGCTTCTTATTTTAGACCTTTCAACGTTCAGGAAAAGCCACAACCAGATCGCAAAGGGGAAACCATCTTCCGTCATTACAAGATGTGATTCAAATCGTGATTCAATCTTTAAGTTTTTTTTATTATCATTATTATTTTGTATATAGTAACTTAGCAGAAAAGTGTCTTGCTGATATGGAAAACGGTGCCAAATTTGAGATCAGAGAACTATGACTGTCTCATAGTACCCGCCACTAATAACATGCCATGAACCAATATCTTTAATAAGAGCCTCTTCCAAGCTTTGACACCTACAAAATCTTTTTTTCAAACTCATGTTTTCCTATATTTAACAATGGCCAGGAGACTATGATTGAAATTAACGTGGACCTCGGTCGTAATTCACTATATATGCATTGTAGACTATTGCCAAACTACCTTTAATACACTGACAGTTAGCAGGCAACTTTAGTCACTTTAGTGGTTTGCATGTTTATCTTTTTGCTAAGAAGAGGCACTTGTTTTCACGCAGAGATGCTAATAACTTAATCGAAAGCCACGCTTCAAACGAAAACATGTCACAGCATATTTGACCACAATACGTTGTTTACTATGAATTTGAAGTGATACAATATAGTTTATGAATTCAGTCGTTCGAGCTGTGATTTGAAAAGATGAGAGGCCCCATGGCGAGTGGCTGGGCCCGTTTTGATTCATACGTACAACTCCCTCCCCAAATCCTGGCGCAACGAGTACTTCACTTGAACACTTACCTCAAGATTATTATAGTGCAATTACAAACCGAAATGCAACATGGTCATGATGCAACATATTGCACTTTTCAATACTGTCTTTAAGTGTTTGAATTCAGAATAATAAAATAAAAATAAAATAAATAACTTTATTTAAGTGTCACATTTATTTTGCACGGTTGTGCTAATTGGGAACACTGTAAATAAATTAATAAACAGATATTGGAAGTAGAACATAAACTATTGAGACTCCCAACTGGAGGGAGACTGACCAGTTGGCTATTTACACGACGCGGTCGAGGAGTTGAAATCGGGACTATCAAAAACAAATCCAGATAGCGGTAAGGTGGAGAATTATAAACAATTTACTTATTTTGAATTAAATCTTCCTCAACATGCTGCTACCGTCTTTCAAAACTTCCACGTTGTCCATGGCCAACTGCGTGTCAAGCGGTCTCAACGGATCGAATGGTGTTGGATGAACATTTTGGTACTGTTTGACCATGCTTTCAGTAGAGTTTCGTTCATCTCCCAAGGAATAATTAGTGCATATTCTTAATTTCTCTTCACCAGTTCATCTATCCACCCGTCGGCCCGTCCATCCGTCCGTCCGCCCATCCGTCCGTCCGCCCGTCCGTCCGTTCGTCCATGCTTCCAATGTTCCATTCATCCATCTGTTCGTTTGCCTTTGTTTGTTCGCTTGTTTGTTCATTTCGAACCAATTTCTGGTGGATTGTTAAGGCCTGCCATTTAAGTGCAGCTGAACTGATAAAAATAGATATCTGTTCAATGTGTTAAAAGAAAATAGCTTGCAAAATCGTCCGGTGATCATGAAATGCAGGTAAAAAAGATTCCAGTCCGAGAACTTAAGATTCAGGTGAGATCATGACATCTTTCAGCAGATTAATCTTCATGGTACGCGGTCTAAATACAGGCAAAGTTTTAACCATGTGCTAAAAATTTTAAGGCTCACAAAAAAACGTAAACGTTATTAGGTTACCGGTAGTGATCGGAAAGGTGATTTGATCCGAAAGATGCTTGGGGGGAAAACTTAACACAGTTTTGTAAGGGGAAGTTTCGCCTCAATGTCTAAACACTTACCCTGAAATATATACCATTTTTTGACAGAAAAGGTAATCCTTTCATATATCTTTCATAGTAAATGGTACTATTTTCACATACTAGCAATACACCTTAATTTAGAGACTCTAAAATACGTCCTGCAAAATCCCCACCTTTTATCACACCCAGCCTGAAAACAGAATCCCTGTCGGCCGGGGCCTCCCCTTATAGTCCATTATAGGAATTCAGTGACCCTCGACCCGGGGAAACTTGATCAGCCAAGGCGATTCAGGGTACTACAATGTAAAATCCAAACTCAGAACTATAGTATTCGTTAAGCTGTGATTGGTTCCTTTTACTAGTTTCACAGTTTTTACGGCTACAAAGTGCTTGACAAAATGTCCCTTCTCTTCGTTGCAAATTACCATCCAAGCACTGGCTGGGCAAAAAAAAAAAAAAAACACAATCATCGAAGAAAAGCGTCGAAGAATTGTGGCAATATTTTCATGTGGAGCAACGATGCCACAGATACGTTAATCGACCTGTGGTCGGAGGAAACTGTCCAGTTCGCGTTGGCAAAACCTCAAAGGAAACTGGAAAGGTAAACAACACGCTAAAGGTAAGTAACACATTCTACTGGAGGCTAAGTAGTACAAAGTTATTGCTAGCCTTCGATTTGGCGTAACAGCTTTTCACATTAGAGTGTCCTGTCGAGATATCGCATCACCAATCTCGTGGAGAATGTATGTAAATGTTCCACGAGTTACCCTAAAGTTGGAATACCACAGCTCGTCAGGAAAGGATACTTCCACCATGTCAAAGGACGCAAAAGAATGGGGATGCATCCATACCTCTCTTAAACGTGGAGGATTTAGACAACTCAAAATAGCTTGCAGCAGGCCGTATTGTCGCCGCTTTAATGCATGTAAGAGTGGTCCAAGGGACGACCTTGTTTTATCCCTCATTTACGACAGGCGTTTCCGCTTTTTCAAAACAATAAGACATACAATTGCTTTTTGTACTCGAGAAACTGCCATTTTCTTTTTTGATTAGCCGGCGAAAGCGCGCCTAAAATCATATATGAACCGCTGTCATATAAACGCAGGGACTCAGAAATTTAAGAGTGCCGTTCTTGTTTCAGGGGTGCCGTTCAGAAATCAACATTGAAAAAACTTGAACATCTTTTATCGCGTAAATCAAACGGGCCGTTCCCAAAACTATCGGCCCGTGTACCAAAATTTCGGAGTGCCCAAAATGAATGTCGTGTAAATGCGCCTCAGGCTTAGCTAATCAAAAGTACTTATTTTGGAGAACAATGATATCTGGAAACCCTTTTTAGATGCTGTTAAACGTTTTCAGTTGAACAATAATGCGGTTCCAAAATTAGACAAACGTCTATCCGCAACACACAAAGTTCATTTGCAGATGGATCCGGGCAAAAAAATGGCCTTTCTGATGATAAGGTTAACGCCTGCAGCTGTAACAGGATGCCATGGATGTTCGTCTCATCTTATGTTGTCATCGTCATGAAAGCCTGTTGGCAGTCTATTTCCTTGAGATCAGGCAGCGAGTATGAGGCGAGACGTTTTAGAGTACAAAGGGTTGGGACAATACATGAGCGCGGTACTCTCGTCCCTACCCCTATCGTCCATACCGACCCTGGCTTTGCGTTCACGTTCACGGATAAATATTCGCCTGACCCTGAAAGAATAGGCTGGCGCCAGCAGTTTACGTCATGACGATGTTGCTGACGCGCTACTCTACAAAAGACAATTTCAAATGGAGATGATGCATATGGTGGATAAAACTACTAAGAGAACTTCCAAACATCATACGGTACCTAAGCGTCTTAAGCTCTCTTATGAGCATTTCGAAAGGGCCGGTCGTTTTCACTCAACCATTCATATGTAAAGCAGCCATAGAGTTCGCGTGCAGCACTCAAAATAACAAACTCCGTTGATATGGAAACGTATACTTTTAGTCTGTCACTAGAGACCGACGAAACCCTCAAAGTAGTGACTTAGCAAATAAACAAGTCATCCTTCAGTACAACTGAAAAGCAGTTTGTAGTAACTGTTACCCAGAAACGAAGGACAAGAGCAGGACTTTTTTCTCTGACATTGAAGCAAGAGCACGTACGTTGTTGTGAAAAGAAAAAAAAAACGAACCCATCTGTATTTATTGTTGACGGCTGATCTCACGCTACTGAGAGGTTTGTAAAATACTTTACATTTCAAACTGGCAAAACGTTCAGGAAACATTTGTAAATGATGCGACCCGTAAAGGGATGTTGGTCGGCACCATCTAAGAATAGCTTTCTTATGCAGGAAGAATTTTAGAATTTCAGTGTATTGACGCGGGCGCCACCACGTGCGTCTCGTGGAATTCGATTCATCTCCAGGAAATGCCCCCATGCTGTTCAAATCCCCTCAAAGAGAGAAATTGCTTTTAATGTATGGGTTCTGGCTAAAAAGCATTTGTCATTTTAATTTTAAGAGAACAAACAGTACATGGTGAATATTTTCCCATTTAAGAAAAGCATTTCCTTACTTTTCGTGCAAAGCTGGAGTTTGCTAAATAGCATGGCTACGGTTCAAGACAGGCGTCCTTTTTCACAGTTTTTCTTCAACCAAGACAGGCAAATCTAGCAATGATAGCATTTTTGTGGTAAAGAAAAGAAAATCAAAATTGCGTAATGGTGGATAAAGAAGAACATCTCTGTCATAATAACCGTTTTCCGTTTGTTTTCGTTTTGCAGAGGCCAATTTCAACGGCCCGCATTCATTTGAATTTATTCAGTAACATTGACCCCCTCGAAGTAGAGAGTAATGAGTTGGCGGCCAAATGCATGCAAAGTTTTTGGCCTAGTTTTCGCTCAATTTGTGAGAATTGCAGTGGTGTAATTCGATGTTCTATTGATAGCAGAAGCTTAGGATGTGTCTTTCGACGGTTACTGGCCGTCAGTGGAGAAAAATACCGTTAGAATTTCAGAAGAGGCAACTGATATTTGCCTTTGACGGACTCGCCGTGTGTGTCCTTGAAGAGGAAATGTCGTGCTTTATGCGAGTGATTCCACCGTTTTGGCCGAGGGCAATTTCGTCATTTCAAAAGAAGATGATTTGAATTGTTTCTTGACCCCCTGGAAGAGGAGAGGAAATAATCGATGGCCTGTTTCAAAGATCATGCCCTTGTTGATTGTTTTGAATTTACGGAGCATTCGGAGCAGCACGCAATGGCACAAGTGATGATGGGTTGGAGTTTGCCAAGGCAGAAGTTTGATCTTTTTACTCATTGCCACGACATAGATTGACAGCAGGATGAGCTAAGGAAAGGTTCAATCTAACGCACATTTTCAGAAGAAGAACACCAGACCAATTGACGTTTCCACGTTTTCCAATTCAAATCGCATAAATGTCAGTGAAATGGAATATAAACAGTGACTGTTGATAACAAAGAAACACGCAAGGTAATATATAAATACAAAAAGCGATCGTTTTTATCAGATTATTTATCGACTAGAAGCGACCGTCATGGCAAGAGGAAGTGCAACATAATAATTTAAAATCCCAGAAGTGTTCTTGCTAGCTGGCAGAGGAAAGTTAAAGCTCTCTGAAACTATTATTCCTGCTAAATATTCATACAAACATTTTGATTGACGGTTTTTGTTTGATTTACAAGGCCTCGTTGTTTTCCAAATTCAAAGGCAACTACAGTGGAATCCCGATTTTTCGAACCTCCAAGGGAAAGAAAAATTTGGTTCGAAAAATCGCAAAGTTCGAGAAATCGGGAGTAAAATTACAGTGTTCGACTGGGGTGAGGGAACAACTTTTGGTTCGAGTTATCGGGAGGTTCGAAAAAATGAGGGTTCGAGGAGTCGAGATTCACTGTATTCGAATAGAAAACATATTCTTTTGGCAATCATTACCTTACAGGAATAGAAAATGGTAAATAAAGTCCCGATAATCACGTGATCGATGCCTGCTAACGTACTTTTTCGTATGTCACAGCTGAGAAGATATTTCCTGATATCCTGTGCATGTAACT